CATGATGGGGGCTGGGTGGGGGGCACGAGGGCGACCCAGACCTCTGTCCCTGGAGCTTCTACCAAAGACACGGCGAGGCCTGGACCCCACGGGGCTGGGGAGGGCCATGTGCAATATTTGGAGGGTTTTCTGGGGCAGTGGGAGGGCTGGGGGATGGAATCCTTTCCCATGTACAGTATTTATGTTTCTTTTTAGATGTGTACCTTCCCAAGCACTTATTTATGCAATGACCTAGGGCAGGGAGTGATTGGAGGAAATGACAGAAGGAAAAAAACCCGATTCCTGCCCTGGGGGGCCAACCAGGACCCTAACCAAGCCTTCCTGGAGGGACCAATCCCCCCCCCATTACATACATGCGCGCACACACACACACACACACACACACACACACGCTGCATGTTCAGGGCACTAAAACGCCTCTTCACACACTTTCCAAGCCTCATGCTGATTGGGCCACCCTCCAGCATCCAGAGCCAAGGACCAAGTCCCCTGTCACCCAGAGCAAGATGACGAGGACAGTGACTCCGTCTGGGGGCCTCCCCAGGCTTGGCATTTCCTAGTTTATTGACGGTGCCTTCAGTAGTCTCTGAACTCGGGAGCACTGATGGGGCCTTGGACGGGCTCTCTGCTGGCCTGAGCAGGAAGAGAAAAGGCCCTTGCTCCTCACAGCTGCCCCCCAGCCCCTGTGTCTCATGCACTGGCACATGCGGTCACCGTAGGAGGGTGGACCTAGGAGCCCCCTCACTCTGACCACTGAATCCCTCTCTTCACACCCCTCCTGCCAGGGGCAGCCCCTCCAGGAAAGATGCCCAAAGCCGAGGGGCTGGACATGGCCTCTTCAACTGGGAGTCACTCGAGGGCAGCCTCTCCCCTGCCCCTGGACCCAGGAGCCAGTCTGAGCCCCAGCCCCCTCGCTGCTTCAGCTACCGCTCCAAAGGTCTGGTTTCAGATGGGGTTTGTTCGGTTCTGTTTTTGTTTGGGGTGGGTGGGTCATTGCGGTCTTAGATTGTGCTTCTCTTGCTACCAAACAGTCATGTATTAACTTTCTTTGGATGATGAATTTTAAAGTCAATAAATAGAAACACCAAGTGACTGCTCCCCATCAGTAGCCCAGGTGGCCTGCCAGCAACCTAAGAGCTTCCCAGCCGCGTGGCTCTCCTGACACCCCCTCTCATGTGCAGAAGGGAGGCCCCGGAGACCCAGAAGAGTGGGGTGCACTGTTGCAGGTCACCGCCTGTGGGGGCTGCAGTTTCCTCACCAGGAAAACAAGGGGTGTGCTCGTCCAGTGCTTTGTAACCAGAGCTACGTGTTAGAATCCTTTACAGATTCCTGTGTAAATATAGAGCGTGACACAGATTGTGTGTCCGTGTGAACACCGTTCCCAGGCTCCCCTTGCCTCCTGCGTCAGTGGGTCTGAAGTGGGGCTGGGGAAGCCGAGCTGCCTTAGGCTGTAAGTAAAAGACTAGGCAACGACCGAGCCTGTCCACAGCTCCAGGAAACCATCCCCAGCAGCCTCGCGTGAGGCCAGGGAACCTGACAGGCCCAGGTGAGGTCAGGCTTTGGAGCTGGGGTAGAATCCAAGTTTGTCTGATTTCTGGTCCAAAGAAGTACATCATTTTTAAAAAGGTGTGTCATGAAATCAGACACAAGAATGCAAAGGCCGACCTCACTGGTTTGGCTCAGTGGGTAGAGCGTCTGCCTGTGGACTGAAGGATCCCTGGTTCGATTCTGGTCAAGGGCACATGCCTGGGTTGTGGGCTCCATCCCCAGTGTAGAGTGTGCAAGAGGCAGCCGATCAATGATTCTCTCTCATCATTGATGTTTCTCTCTCTCCCTCTCCCTTCCTCTCTGAAATCAATTAAAAAAAAACAATAAAAAAGGATGTGAAGGCCGACAGCACAGGGCCAGTCCGTGTCCGGTCAGCCATGACCACCAGGGTCTACCTATCGGACTCAAGACGGCAACCACTAGAAAAGAACAGGTCGTGCCTCTGCTCTGCTAAACACGCTTGAACATTTTCCAGCCTAAATGATGGAGGCTTTACAAACATTTCTGGTGGAGGGGAGTGCGGGCTCATGCTTTGCAAATCGGTGTACACATCAGTCACTCAGGAGTCTGGCTCATGTTCCTCAGACAAACCCTGGACAGGGTGTTCCTACCTCAGAGGACAGGAGAGAGGACCCAAAGCCATTCTTCTCCAAGGGGTTCTCCAGGGGTCCCTTGAGCTGGAGACACCTACCTCCTGGGGAGGGTGAGGCACAGAGAAATCTAGGGATTTACCTGAAGTCACACAGCACTGAGGCTGGGGTGGGCACAGAGGAGAGTGCGAAGGGAGCAGCAAATACGGCTAAGGCCCTGGCTTAGACCTGGGTGGGCCCTGGGGGGGATGGGGACCAAGGGAGCTTAACGAAGCCTCAGCCCTGTGGCCTCCTATCACTGTGTGGCCCTAGGCAGGTGTCTGCCTTCTCTGGACACAGGTGCCCTCTGAGAGCCCTTCACAGCTTTTGCATTCCTGCCAAACACCAAGTCTTAATTTTGTCCTTGCGGACCTTAAGCCACAGGCCGGGTTGCAGGAAGCGCAAGGGGAAGCGCTATTTTGGGCCCATTATGACCAATGAGGAGCCCGGCCTGGCAAAGGCAAGCTGCGTCAGAGGTAGATGTCAGGGCTGAACTGGGGAGGGAGACAGCAAACTGGAATAAATGGGGGCAGAGCCCAGATGCCGGGTGGTGGGGAGGACACAGGGCAAACACTGGGTGTGGGGGAGGAGAGGGAACAGACCTGGTGTTGGAGCCCAGCGGCCTGGAAGAAGCAGGTGCCCCCACAGAGGGTCTCAGTAGATCCCACAACATCCTGGGTGGGTGAGCTTGCACCCGGGTGAAGCCTCCTGCTGAAGGCCACACAGCCTGGCGGTGGCAGCACTGGGACTTGGCCCCTGTCTGTGTCACACCAAAGCCCAACCCCAGTGGGATTCCAGACCCAGGACAGGATCTGGACCTAAATGCCGACTGAACCTAACCCTCAGGGCCAGTCAGCTCAGCTCGTTACTGCCCTGCCCCAGGCTGAGGCCCACCCTGGCCCCCAAGACCCAGTTCCTCCTAAAACCAAATTCACTCTCCCCCTGGGGCCAAGGCACATACATAGGAGGGCAGCCCACCTTCCAAGGGGTAGGACTTGGCCAGTGGGGGTTAGCCAGACACAGAGGACTGAAATTTGAGTATGAACTCCCCCTCCCATGCCTCCTGCTTTCAACTCCCACCTTGGGATTCCAGTGCAGCCAGCAGAGGGTGCCACTGTTCCTGGTCCACCACCCCAGAGGCTGGCACGGGCTCAGCTCCCATGCAGACGACACTCAGGCCTGTGATCCTGTGACCCAGCCCGGCAGAGCTCATCCCAGCTTACTGGGGC